AAAATTTAGTACTAAAAATGTTTTGACATAAAATAATGCTCTTACAAATATAAAAAAGTATATTAACAATGACTTGAAAATTTTGAGAAGGGCTTGTTTGTAATTTGAACTTACTTTTAAAATCTAATCATCATTCAAAAAGTCAAATGAATCTTTGTAAATTTGAAATTAGGTTTGGAGGGATTTTGAAAAGACCAATATACCCTACTTAAAGTACATGAAATATTTATGGTAAAAAGTCATTTTGACCATGTAAGGGTATTTTATGGTAAAATGTTTTTGGAATACTCTATTCTAAGTTGACCATTAGTATGGTATATTGTAGAATAATCTATAAATATGTATACACACACACACACACACACACACACAAAATTCATAATTTTCCATTCTTGATATTGTAAAAGATAAGAAGTGTCGGTACAAAACATGATGCACCGCGATTTTAAGAGTTAAAAAGAGAAAGAAAAGAAGAAGAAAAAAAAAAGAGAAAAAGAAATTGCACATAACATACGGTAGATCATAGATGCTTTGGATTCAACACTAAAATTGGAACTCCTATGGATTTGGAAATTCTACATAATCAAATTGTGCACAATAGAATTTTTGATATATGAATCTTCTTCAGTGCTCTCCTCAAATACAAGGGGATCCAAATCTGGGTCATCTAATGTCATGGAGACTGTTTGCAAACAAGTAGGTGCATACGCGGGTAACTTTTATACTCTTCTTGAAGGCCAACTTTTATATTCTTCTTTTCTTGAAAATGTGTGAAGGTTAGAATGCACATAAACCGAATCCTCGCTCTTGCAGAAGTCATCATGTTGGGTTTAATAAAGTCAATACGAGAAAAAGTACTCCAATTCCTTTTGCAACAAGATAATGAACAAGGTTGAGTGAGAAGTTGAAATGTTAGTGCTTGCAGCCTAGGGGTACTACTACCATTTTTTACCCACCATGCCATTGGGTTTTATTTGTGTGATAGTCTGCCATAACCTCCCATTTTCCAAAATCAACCAATCAAGCTGTAAATCCAGAAGAATCCATACCAGTACTCGTGTCCATACGTGTCCGACATTGGTACGCGACCCTTTTCGAAGAATCCATGTAACATAGCCACGATTAAAGCAACAATCTCAAATATTCCGGTCTCTCAAATGTCACTTTTTAGGATTCCCATGTCTATCATGAACGTAATTGAGCACTTAATGAGGGATTCCTATGGTTGGAGCTAGAGGAGATAAAAAAACTACAGTTAAAAATGTCTGTAAACAGAAGAGAGATGGAGGGCTTGGTATAGAACTAGTCATGGACATGAATGTAGCATTCCTTGGCAATTGGTGGTGGCGCTTTTGCCACACAAGACGACAATGACACACTGTAGGAACAGATATTCAACAATAATATGGTCTTGATGAATCTGGTTGGCTGCCCAAAGGCAGGTCCAGTGGAAAGGAATCAGGCACTCAAAGTTTATCACGTCAATATACATGCCTTTCTCAGCCCATATACACTTTCAGCAATAACGGGAGATTGTATTCGATTTTGGAGAATATCCTTCCAAGTGACGGATATTCTCCTTTGGTGATCCTCTGTTATGTCTGTGGTTTGGACCATTTGGAAGGAGTGTAAAAGGAGAATCTTTGATGGCCTTGTAAGGACAAACTCGTGATCACTGTGATTTGATGGGCTAGACTGAGGAAGGACTTCACTCCCTACACCACTTCTGGTTTTTTACTAAACTGGCAGCACATCTCAAGGTTCATCCCATGATTACCTTTAGATCTAATTTGGGGTCGCTCCAAGGCAAATTCAAACTTAACTTTGATGGGTGTTCCAATGGTTGATCCAGGAAGGGCCGGAAGAGGTGGTGTAGTCAGGAATAGTGAAGCATTCATCCTCTTGTCTTATTTAGGACCAATGAGAAACATGACAGATGGCTGTTGCTGAGATGCATGCACTACTTGGGGGGCTAAGCACTTGTAGATGAGGATGGTGGAATGTAATTCCATGAATATCATCAATTGGGCAAAAAAGATATCTCCCTGTTCCTCGTCTTTAGAGCATGTGTTTGGAGAAATCAACGAACTTGATGAGCATTTTATTCCAACTTATTTGGAGGCACTCAAAACGCCATAGTGGATACCCTCACAACGGCTGGTGCTGATTGTGCAGAGTCCAGACTCGGCCATTCTACAATATTTACCCTGAAACAGCTGAGTCTTAATTTTGGGTGTTGTAATACTAGTAGCCTCCTGCCTACAAGGAGCTACTAGCTCTCTTCTCGCTCTTCCCTCCATTCTACTCCCCTCTCCCCCCCTAATTTTTCTCCTCTCACTTCTTCCCCGTTCTTCTCAACATAGGTCTGAATTGTAAAATTTTTGTGGCTACCATAACTTGTGAGTACCACACAGTTTTTCTAATACAATCAACTTTTCTCAATAGGAAAAAAAAAAGAAGAAAAATAAAAAGAGAGGGCATGGAATGGTAGAATGAGAATGAAGAATTTCATGATACTCTGGCAGAAGAAATTCGGAAATCAAAATTTATTGTTAATCATGCATGATAGTTTACTGTTAACCATCTTAAAAATTAATATCTTATCATGCGCATGTTCAATTTGTTGGTCCTGCTGTCCAAAGGAATTATGTTAATGGCTATTTATACATGTGGAGACTTGTTTCCTTTCATGAGGCTGATGATTCTTATCCGGCAGAGGTTTCTTGTATCTCTTCTCTCCCTTATTCTAACCCAATCTACCTCACTCAACATGGTATCAGATCCAAAGATAAAATAAGTCAATAGGCATTTTAGCGATTACTTGATTTTGTACTTCAAATTTTCCGGGGAGGGAGGGAGATATGAAGGGGGTTCTACTCTCACATCATGATAAAACTCTGGAAAGTATGCGAATAGCCTGTTCTAATGGACTACCTCCATGGTATTACAAGTTAGGAGTAGGCAAATTATCCATATATTTCTCTTGACAACATGAAATTCTCCGTGTATTAGGGACGATTACAACTTGTCCACTGCTGAGTTTTAGTCCCCGATACACTAGAATTTGGATGTGTCTTGTGTCTGACACTCATTTCAATCAGAAGTTAATTTTGGACATTACATGTAGGTCTGTGTCCATGTATCATAGCTTGACATTGATCATAATGTGGTAATCAAAGTCAGGGGCAGCGTTTAAGATCAACTTGCTGAGTCTTCATTTTACGGCTGGCACTGTAGTGGAATATCTTTATATGTTATGGTGAAATGTCGAATTTCCATTACTTGGATTCTTTGCAAGTTTCTTACCATCATGCTCATTTTAATCTCATTTGTCAACTTATGGGTGACCTGTTGAAATTTCACCATATTCCTGAGGTTCTGGCTAGCTGACATTATTCATCTCTGATTATTGCTCTTGTTATAATGGTTTTTCCTGCTGCATCATAGCTGAGGCTGGAATTTAGAAGTTCTTTCTTGCATTGTCAAGTTATTCAATAGCATTAGGCATTCAACTCTAGACCTTGAGTTCGTTGGACTTCTTTATTTATTCATTTTTTTATTTTTGTTTTCTGTCCTTTTGTGTCTGTGCTTACTCTTGGGATCATTCTTCCTCAGTGCATTGGTGGGCTTGTTCTTTCCTGCTGTGACTGGTATTATGGCTGGGTCAAATCGTTCTGCATCACTTAAAGACACTCAGCGTTCAATACCTGTTGGAACACTAGCCGCGACCCTTACAACCACTGCTCTATATCTTGTATCCGTATTACTATTTGGAGCTCTGGCTAAGCGAACTGAGCTATTGACAAATAGGTAGCAAGCCCTTCTTCTTATATACCTCTCGCCATCGTTCCGATTTTCTTTTTTACTTTTGTTTTCCTTTCAACAGATTATCCTTGAAGACTTTTTATTTTGTGGATGTTAGATATCCATTTCTATGCTGACTGTTTCTTACAGTATGAAAAGTTAATTGATGGATTTTCCATTGTCTATGTTTTTTTTTTATTGGGTAAGTTCATTATCTATATAGTAGTTTGCTTTTCTTTAGCAATGGAAAAATGCTCCTTTTATTTTAGAAGTCAAGGTATCCTGCAGTTCATTGATACGTTCTTCACTTACTCTATTATGAATGTTGTTGAATCCATCTATCTTGCCCTCTACTCTTCACTGATGACCTTTTTTCTCTAGATCACCAAATACCAACTTTTTTTTTTTGGATTTAGCATGATATTCTCCTCCATTGATCTCTTTGAAATGGCTGTAACAGCCTACTTGGCTAATCAAACCAAAAAAATTCTGGTTATTTTCAGAAAGATACTGAAAAATGCTCTTGTACTATGTCCTCCAAACTTGCAACAATTTTCTGTTTCTGATTTTGGCCCCTCAATTGGGAATTTGACCACGGCCAATCCAATAGAGTTAAATCAAATTAGACTGGCACACAGGTTGGCTGATTTGCAACTATTTTGGCTGATATAACAATAAAAACTGATCTTGTCAGCCTAATTATTAACACCTTCCCCCCTCCCCCCCCCCCCAAATAAATAAAAAAGAAGGAAAAGAGAAAAACTGAGATTTCAGCTAGTCTGCCAAATTGCTCTGCAAATTGCTTATCTGATCAAACTGATTCTTATAACACTATTTCAGACTTGAGAGCCACTATGCTGTGGCCTTGATACACATTTTCTTTCTTCTTTATGATAATGGGAAAGTATACTATAATTTAATGGACTAGGGCACTCTCCTGGCTCATTGGATATCACCAACCAATGAAATGATGGATATTGATGGAGAGAGTGGGACCCACCACAGCAGGACAGGACTCCAAATGGTAAATCCCACTCTATCCATCCTCGCCCTTTTTTTTATTCAACAATGATGATGCCAAGGACCAGAGTTTCCCATGTCAATTGGATATTATCATTTTAGTGTAATTCCCATTTAATAATTTTAGCCATGTACTGGCATAATAGTGTATGGGGCCTGTTTGGTCACCCATGTTTCTATGACTCCACCCCGTCAGTAGAAAACAGCAGGTGGCCAGTCAAATGCTGAATGTGGCTAGTATTGCCACCCATGTCCTGGTTGTTTGAATAGGAAACATTGGGTGAGAACGTGGGTGGCAAACTATCCCCTGTTGGTGAGAATTATACATCAATGCTAACTAATATCTCACAAGACTGCTTCTCTATCTATCGTGCAGGTTACTAACTGCCACAGTGGCTTGGCCTGTGCCTGCAATAATCTATGTTGGGATAATTCTTTCAACACTTGGGGCTGCGCTTCAAAGCATGACGGGAGCCCCACGCCTTCTTGCTGCTATTGCAAATGATGATATCCTCCCTGTTCTCAAATACTTCAGAGCAGCAGATGGAAATGAACCTCACCTGGCTACCCTCTTCACTGCGTTCATATGCATTAGTTGTGTAGTTATTGGTAACTTGGACCTTATAACTCCTACCATCACTATGTTCTTTCTGCTGTGCTATGCTGGGGTGAACCTTTCTTGCTTCTTGCTGGACCTTCTCGATGCCCCGAGCTGGCGCCCACGATGGAAGTTCCACCATTGGAGTTTATCTCTACTTGGTGCTTCACTCTGTGTCCGTATGCTTCTGCCCCCTTTCTCTTTTTCTTCTATTTTTTTATGGAAAAAATATAATTTGGGTCGGGCTTGGAAGGTTATGATCAACCAGAGTCATGTTCATCTGATTAAAAGGTAATCTAGAGAGAGTATTTCCAACCAAAACAGGAAAATGACCCCACCTCAATCATGGGTTTCTCCCACCTACATCACTACCCATCATTTCCCTTGATGATGATGGTTCCAATGGACTGTGATTTTCTATTCTCCGTTGTATTTTTTTAATAACTTTTCCTTTTTCTATTAGATGTGATATTTTTTTTTTTTTACTGTCATGGTGATGGATGCCTGAAAATTGAACACAACAGTTATTTCGATGAGTTGTTTTAGAATCTTCTCTGTTTTCTACCTTTGTCGTTTCCTATTCATGAAAGTGCACATTTTTCATTTTAACTTAAAAAAAAAAACCAAAAACAATCTTTTCTTTTTTCTATTGCAAATCCTCCATTGGTGATATTTGTTAAAAAAAAGCCTTAGTGATGTAAGAAATAGTATCAACATATATAAAGTTACAAACTGCCAATTATACTTATCTTCCCTTTTTTTTTACAGTGAAACAGACATAACAAACAGGATAACTTATCTAGATTTGGGAATGGGGCTGAGGTTGTGGTGGTAGCGCACCCCATACCTCAGTTACACGTTGTGGCTTCTATACCCACCGACGGCTTAAAAAAAGAAAGAAAAAAGCTAGATTTCAATAGATTTCAACAACTTATCTTTTTCTTGTTTGCAGTGATCATGTTTTTGATCTCATGGTCATTCACTGTGGTGTCTCTAGCACTTGCTAGCCTGATATATTATTATGTGAGCATCCAAGGGAAGGCTGGGGACTGGGGAGATGGGTTCAAGAGTGCTTATTTTCAGCTGGCCCTTCGAAGTCTTCGGTCAATGGGAGGTATTAGACAACTTACCTATATTAATTCATCACTCCAATGTTACGTAGATGCTTCTGTTTAGGTGCCATTCCTGTGTGAGACACGTAGGACTGAAATTCTTCTTGATTCCTCTTCTTTCTTAAATTCTTGCTAATTATTGATTTCATCACTTATAAACTTTTATCTTTTTTTTTTAAATAGACCCATATGAATTGTGAAAAATTTTATGGAACTTCCAAAAATATATATTGATTCAGCCAAGGCATAATTGATTTTTTATTGCTACTCATCTTGAAATGGAATATAGTAAAAATTGTTGGATTTAGTTGCGTCTCCATAAAATAGCCTTGTTGCCAAAATTCTCTTTTTGATGGCATGAGGAATTTGATGCCATGTGCCTATGTCTAACACTGACATGTACCTGTGTCCATTTGACAAAGCCCCTCTCTAGATTTGTTAGCACTGCTCACTTGACGAATAGAAAAATGTGGTTTTCTTCATATTATTGAAGAACAAATTTGAAAAAAGAACGGCTTTTTATGGTTATTATACAGCCAGGTATTTTTCACTATCATTGGTTTTTGTTTCTAGCACCAAATAGAGAGAGAGAGAGAGAGAGAGAGAGAGAGAGACTCCAACACTAATCCATACATGTTATCACCATATGAGAGAGACAGTTCTGATCTATTCTTATCATCAACTTCTGCTCTGTGCAGCAAACCAGGTGCACCCAAAGAACTGGTACCCAATCCCCCTCATCTTCTGCCGCCCCTGGGGCAAGCTCCCCGAGAATGTGCCCTGCCACCCCAAGCTAGCCGACTTTGCCAATTGCATGAAGAAGAAAGGTCGAGGAATGTCCATCTTTGTTTCCATACTTGATGGCGATTATTGTGACAAAGCTGAGGAAGCAAAGGTAGCTTGTCGCCAATTATCAGCTTATATTGATTACAAGAAATGTGAGGGAGTTGCTGAAATTATTGTGGCTCGGAGCATGACGGAGGGTTTTCGGGGAATTGTCCAAACAATGGGACTTGGAAACTTGAAACCCAATATTGTGGTTATGAGATACCCTGAGATTTGGAGGGAGGAGAATTTGAGGGAGATTCCCGAGACATTTGTGAGCATTATAAATGACTGTATTGTTGCGAATAAGGCAGTGGTGATAGTGAAAGGGTTGGATGAATGGCCTGGAGAATATCAGAAGCAATATGGGACGATTGATTTGTATTGGATTGTGAGGGATGGGGGGCTCATGCTCTTGTTGTCACAGCTGTTGCTCACCAAGGAGAGCTTTGAGAGCTGCAAGATCCAGGTATATCTGTCTCTCTCTCTCATGTATTTTCTTTTTCTTTGAAAATCCAGTTTTCTTGTGAACTATATCTAATCATTAGAAAGCATGCCATACATTTCCTGTGGAATGTAAATGGGGTATTAACCGCCAGTCCTTAATGACATATGGTGCGGTCGAACTGTGGTTTTTATAACCTGACGTTTACCCAGTTCATCTCCATTGTCTTGAGAGTGTAAGGTGTTTATGGTGTACAAAACCTAGATATTTTAGGGATTGGTTAGTGTGGTGTAGTATGACAGAAATCTAAATTTTTTTTTTTTGAAACTGTTGACATTAAGAATTCTCAAATTTTAATATGGTAGCCTCTATTATGCTTAGATATTAAAGTTAGTATTTTACAGGAGACCTACAAGCATAATTTGTAGATAACCTGTATTATATTACATAAATGTTATACTATATGCTCTCATAATTTTTATTACTTTTTCCTATTTTTTTCATTTCCTCCTTTCCTAGATTTATCTGAGGATCCCATTGGAAAAATCAAGAATCTGAATATCTCATGACAAATCACATCACCTAAGGATAATCTCCAATAATTAAAAAAAACAAAGCCCAAAACTAAGAATTATAAGAAAAAAATGGAAGTCCAGTCTTCTGCATGATAAGCTTCACAAAGGAAAAACAATAATAAAAAACACAACAAATTTACATTATGCTTTTAAGAGCAGGTCTTTTGCATAGCTGAGGAGGATGTTGAAGCTGAGGAGCTAAAAGCAGACGTAAAAAAGTTCCTATACGACCTCCGTATGCAAGCAGAGGTGATCGTGGTCACCATGAATGTCGAGGGGGGCCCACAAGATGATTCCTTGGAGGCGTTTAGTGGGGCCCAAAGGAGGATAGCAGCTCGCATAGCCGAGATGAAGGCTAAGAAAGAGCATGATTCTTCTTCCTCTTCTTCAACACCATTGGTTAATGAGCAGCAAGTGAACAAGTTTCTGTACACAACGCTCAAACTCAACTCTGTAATCCTCCGGTACTCTAGAATGGCGTCCGTGGTCCTCATAAGTTTGCCTCCGCCTCCTTTGAATCACCCCTCATACTTTTACATGGAGTATATGGACTTGCTCGTCGAGAATGTGCCGAGGCTTCTCATGGTTAGAGGTTATAGGAGAGATGTTGTCACTCTCTTCACATAGCCCCCTTTCTCTTTCTTTATTCATCATCTTCACCATCATCAATTCATCTTGTTCTGTTGTTTTTCTTCTTCTCCCTTTTTCTACCATCACTTGGGGGAAGCGGTTTTGTTCATAATTGATTTTACTTGTTTATCTTTTTTGGTTTACCTGAGGCTGAGGTCCATTTATTTATTCTTGATCGAGAAGCGTAAATTTGAATTTTCGAGTTTTGTATTCCTAGGTTTTTCCTTTTCTTCTTTTTCCTTTTTCTCTTTTGTGGGATTTGCATCTTGAAAGTATAGTGGTGTAATCCTAATACACCCTAACCAAAAGGGCAATGTGTTTGTAGGATTTCTATGAGAACCTTTCTTGATGTGTCATTTTCTTACTTCACGTTGTTTTCTTGCATGGATGGAGGTTGAGCTAAGGTTGAATCTTCCGAAAGCAAAAGTAAAGGAGGGATAGTGACTCTCTCTCTCTTTGTGGGTTTTCTATAGCCTATAGGTTTTGTTAAGGTGGGGTCTTCCAAAAGCAAAAGAATGGTAGGGTTAATGAATCTTTCTCTCTGACTCTCTCATAATGGTAATTAGTCTTATTGTACATAATCGCTTTAATTTTTAATCCTCCCTCGTAGTTATATATATAAGAGAATAAGTAGGAAAATGACTTCTAGTCAGATTAGCGTTTCTCTCACATTTTCTTCAAATATATTTGTGAACTCTTTTTGGACAGGCGTTTTTTTAAAAGGTGCGGCTCGTAGGAGGTGGCGACCCTAAATATTTTAATAGGATTTTTAACTAAAAAGGAATCTAGCTATAATAAGATTTTCAACTAAAATAACAGGATTGTATAAAATGAGAATTTATTTTTAATACAAAAAAAGTCACATTCACTTTTAGCCATTAGATGTGAAATCTAAGACAAAAATATGTCACAATATTGCAGAATTTTTTTCTTGGACTTTGTGTTCAAACAATGAGGCATCTCAACCACTCGATTTTAAACAATGAGGCATCTCAACCACTCGATTTTAAATCTAACAGTTGGTGATTAATTGTAACCTTGTATCAAAAGCAAATAGTCTTCACTATATATTTATATATGAAAAAAATTTATAGAAGGTTGCAACCTTTAAATGTAAAATTAAAATGCACTTCAATCTATCACATAACATAAGGTTGTTTTGATGTTGAAAAAACGTATAAGTGATCATCTCGATATCATAATGTATGAATATGAATAAAAAAAAATTCAATTCTAAAAATAGTATATCTTGCAACTAATTATCTAGACTATCCATTTTCAAGTGTTCATAAATCTACTTGATTAGAACTATTTTTAGAGTTTAAGATCTTATATTTAGAGATGGAAATAGATTCTCAAACCGTCATAAGAATTTTTAACACCAAAAATTATATCTATGATAAAATTTGAAGGTGTGCCTTAACTTGATTGTTTAACGTTTCAACCTTTTACAAATTTTCATTTCCATCTCCACATATCGGGAACTCAAAGTAAAGTGACTATATTGGGAAAAAAAATTCAGAATTTTAAACTATTAGAAATACTCTAATAATTCTAAACAAAATAACAAGATATGTTTTGCTCTATTAAATAGATATCTATGTTCAGAAAGAAACAGAAGATGAATGGAATTTTAAGAATTAAAATTACTCCCAAAATAGAGTTAATACAAACGAACTTAAATATTTATAAATATGTTAATATTTATACCAATTTAAAATTTACTTTATATCCAGTGTCTAAGCTGAAGCATCATGCAGTGCACATTGCATATGCTAGTTTCTTTTAATTGGAGGTATTAAATACCAGCTAACACTGAATCGCTCTTTAACATGTGGGAAAATATACACTTGATATTGTAAATATCCTGTATTTTCTCTTTTAAAGAAATAATCGTTTTCATTCAAATGTCACTAATTCACCACTGATCAGCACAAGAAGTGTTTAAAACTTTGACATTTGATGAATTCACTAATATCCATCCAATAATTTATTCACTTTTTTTCTGGAAAATTGATATTTGGACCAAATTTCGAAAGCACTACTGAGGCCTCCAAATAAAAATAAAACCTTACGGAGAAAAAAAAAGAACTCAGAAAAACACGAAGAATATATTTCCATGAATGCTATCTCTTTGCCATTGGAACTGCCAACTGGAACTCTTTGGTGATGCATTGGACCTGGTTCAGGTACATCTGAGTATCATTTTCAGCTGAAAACCCCAACTGTACACCATTCCAAAGGAACAGTAAACTGATACTAACATAAGAGGTACGAAGGGCAACTTATCCCCCAACAGGTAAGTGTGCAAGAACTGACCCCATACTTCAATGACCAGCAAACCCAACAAATAGATTCTACCCATCTTCCCAATAAGCCTGATCCTCTCACCACAACCCTGTTCTGATTTTGCATCGTTAGCCTTCTTCCCCGATGCATATTTCCCGAATTGCAAGGAAAAACTTGACCACATTAGAAATGAGTGCAGCAATAGCAGTACCACTTTTACTGGGTATTCCTTGGTTTCGAATAGGAGAGGAAACTGGGAATAGCAGGAAACTGCACAACAAAAAAAAAGGAAGACTTGAGAGAGAGAGAGACTTTCAGAGAAGAGGGGAAGGGAAGCCATTGCCTGTCATGAATGCAGCATTTAACCATTTTTACGTACATCTACATGTTTTCTTTCTCTCTTTTTTTAAAAAATAATAATATGCTAGGTCAGTTATAGTGTTTCCTCGACAAGTTTCAAAGTTCAAACACTTGACCTACCTCACCTGTACTGATGTGTCTTCCACTGGGCCATATGCCTAAGGACACCTGTTTTAGATGGAAACTACCACATGGTCTTCATATTTTAGATGAAACTACAAAAACTTTCAACTACCACCACCTCAGGACCTCTAACTAGTTAGAGCTAATTGACTATTTTGATTGTTGCAAATGATGTGAATAACTAAAAAGATGAGAAAATGTCGGATCTCCCTTCCTTTTTTAATTATGATGAGAAAGGCGCATTAGGAACCACAACCTAGGATGTAAGCTAGGGGGGGCTACCTTGGAAACACAGTTCTTTATTTCATGAAGACGATTGATTATATAATCTCTTGCATAAACACAAAAAACCTAATTGTTATCACAAATGTCGCTAAAGCTTCCAATAAAGGAAAAGCAAGGACAGGCTGCAATTTAACAAATTAATTATAGCGGTCTAACTTGTGTCATATCTAAAGTGATCTCTTTGAAGTACCCAGCAACAGAGCAGCTAGTGGTCTTTTGAGGTATATTAGAGAAAAACCAAATTACCATATTGCACAGTATATGAACATCCAACTATCAATCAACATTAATAAGGATGAGAGATCCTGGTCAAAATAATGAAGGACGGAATTTTCTCAGGGGTAACTTCCCCCTGGAAGACATTTCCTGAGAAAATTTGTTATACAATTATAATTCAGACATAATGGTCATCCATTCTCAAGAAACACAATGATAAATATGAATATTTAGTAGTTACCAATATCGTCGGATAAATTAACACCACACTGCAGTTTGTACCTTTGATAAAACTAAAAATCGGTCATTGTGGAAGTCCTAATGTCTGCAACAATATAACACAAATTATGATATTGTTTCTCCAACATTTAGATCCATATTATTACCAGTACTCTACCCAAAAAGTGGCCAAGTCTCCAAATTTCAACAGTTCTCCAGTTTGTTGTACAAGACAAATGTCTAATAAATCTCCTCCCTTAACCAGAATTCAAATTTTTATCAAATTTCAGCACAGATTCATACATTTGGATTCAAACCGTACTGATTCAAAACCAAACCATGTTTTACCATCCAGATCTTGGCTCATTGTAATGAACTTTTTATTCCAATATCTCAATCAATATTTCCATTTCAAAGCAAAACCAAGGGCACAAGAGGTTCAGAGATGCATACCTACTGACAGCAAGTTGTAGTGTGCAGCATCTTCTAAGCTACTTACTGCAACAAAACCAAGTGGAATCACAAAGTGCATGGATGCTTTCTCATGAACATGCCAACCAAATAGAAATCCGCAGGTGTAGGCATATGAGACCCATCGTATTATGTGGTCTGGCTTAGGCTGCTTCCATGCTTTAACAAGACATGGAGACAGGGAAAGCAGGACCAACAAGAAGGTTGCCAAAGGAGTGACCTGCAGTTATCATAAAATGCCAGCTGGGTAGATATTACATAATGGACCAAGACAAGTTCCCTAATCCCAAAAGGTAGACGTTACATAATAGACCAAAATCCCACTCTCCCTCATTCCCCCCCTCTTGCAAGCAAGCTCAAAAGACCCCATACCTTAGGGAGAATAGCAAATGGTGGTGAGGCCCCCACCAAACCACCAGTGAATGAAGCTGTGGGAGCTGGCACGTTCAACCCAAGCCTTCTAAGAATGAAACCAATACCTTTATCTGCAATTATGTATAATGTCCAAAAATTGGGAGCCCAATACGCATGGCATAAACCCCTGTCAAATGGAAATAATTGTTGGATGACTTGTTTCATCTGCAAGAAAAACCTACATCAGAAGCAGAGTGTGAGAATAGAACCGATTTGTCCAACATTATGCTTGGACCTCCAAGCCCATGATGTCCCAAAAGCGCTGCACCAAACAAGTAACTTTCACACATGCAGTACAACAATTAACCTTTTCAAAAAAACAAAAACACCATTGGAACTGATGAATTGAAACTCCTATATCAACCTTCTGCCCCTTCTCTTCCACTTATCCAAAGAAACTATGACCCACATGCCCTCCATGGGGGACTAACGGATATCCCACAGAACAATCACCACCTTCTCTCTCAACCTGTGGACCAATAACATAAGCTCAAGTGGACCAATGTTAAGAAAGTTAACTTAAGTGGACCCATGTTTTTAATGACCTCAAGGTTTCTCCTCCATCCAAACCACTAGGTTCCCAATTATTTTTCCAGTGATTAAATACCCCAATAGGAAACTTTTTGAGATTATTTTTCTCATGGAAATTTGTTGATTTCCAGCAAAACCATCCCTTGTATATTGTTAATGGGTTTGATACCTAGTGAACATCAGTCTCAACCTGATGAGATTAACTCGCATCAGAGGTTTCTATCATTTGGAGTTCCTATTGGAGAGATCTATCGGACTGTGATGTTTTTGCTGTTTTATTAACACTGCTTCATCAGCCAAGCCTTTAACAGTGAGAAAATTAAGTCTGCTGTTTGAATCTCTCCTGCAAACCAAACTGGTCTGACCATTAAAATATCCTGCATATGGTCATGGCTCTAATGGGATACACTTTCATTTTTGTGCCTGGTTTCAGTACATACATTTCATTTGAATTGATAGATGAACAGTGCATATTCATCAACTTATGAATTGGACACTCTGCTCGTGAGAACATGTTCAACCCAAATCCTAGACAAGAAACTAGGTCCGTCCTACTTGTCTCAATTGAAACAATTATCTTCAATGATTTCAATTGGTTGATCACCTCAGGAAGAAAAAGGAAGCGCTGTATTGCAAATGACAATTCCAACAAAAATTGTTCCATGAGCTCAAATAAGGCACACAATGAAAGTAGTCTTGGATAAACAATCCATCGGAGTATAAATTAGTTGATGTATTATTTTCTATGTCAATTACTGAGTGAGTTTGGGATCATGCAAATATGACTTTTTACCCGAAGTAGCACCACAAGAATATACAAATGAAAACAAGACAATTCAAAATTACAAATCTAAAACTGAAGAGTTAGAACCTTTAAGGGTAGAATGTTTTGCTAGAATAAGGAAAGAAGACCTCCTAAGAATTCCTTTCATTACAGCTTACCTTCCTATCCCCACAAAAAGCATACATACACACACAGAGACATACACATACACACATACATACATACATACATATTACACACACATACACAGACACACAAAAATAAATACATAAACACACACACACACACACACACACACACACACACACACACATACATACATACATACATACATACATACATACACCCACACATATATACCTACACACACACAGACATACATATCTTGAAATGCATGCCATACATATCTACACACAATACACAGACATAAATACTTACCTACACATACAGACATACATACATACCTCCACACACACAGAGACATACATACACACACAGAGACACACATGCATACACAGAGAGAGAGAGAGAGAGAGAGAGAGAGAGAGAGAGAGAGACATACAGACATACATAGACACACACAGTCATACATTACACAAACACACAGAAAGAGACATACATACATATCTACATACATAGTTACATACACACACACACAGAGACATACATACGTGCACACACAGTCATAGAGACCATATATAAATAGACATACACACACATACATATCAATGTTTACGAACTCGGCTCAGGCCACGAACTTGGCCACTATCCCGATCCGAGTTACTTAGACGAGTCTGAGTGGACTCCCCCGAGTCATGTATGGGGCCCAAAAATCCCTAAAAAATATTAAAAACCCAAAAAAATTGTCAAATAATAAATTAAAAATAGTAAAAGTTAAACAAAACAAAAAATAACAAAAAAGTCCAAATATGCTGAAAAAAATAAAACATGGATTTAGAAAAATTTGATTTACAGCTGGAGACATTATAAAATCCAAAAACAAAGGAAAATATAAAAACTATGGCATATGAATAGAAAACGCAAATCATTGTCAAAAATCCAAGTTGCATATAAAATATTTATACATTGATTTCACTATTTAATACAATTTTTTATATTTTTATTATTTATATACCCCAAATTTTACCTGGGTACTCGGCTCAGCATGAGGCCAACACCGAGTGGAATCCGAGTCCTTGAATAATGATACATATAAATATATATATATATAT